CCTCTCACTGTCCCCCCACATGTGACTGCATTCCCTCCTTACACCCCTGGCACTCATGTGTCCCTCACTGGGGACGCGGCAGCAGATGCCTGCTTCTCTTGTCCTCTGGGGTCAGAGAACACTCCTCTGTGACAGTCTTATAAATGATCTGACCTCAGACAGACAGCCCTGGACAAAGCTCACCCTCCTGCTCTCCTTCCCTTTGTGTCACCCTCTGACACCATAGACAACTCTTCATGTTCTTTCTCACCTTCATCCAGAAGGGATAAATCATTCTCTCCCTGTCGTCTGTTCACCTAGGTTGGGTCCGGCCTGTGTTCGGCCTGAATGTACAGCTGTGCAGAGCCAGCTTCCCCGTTCTGATGCAGCCCAGTCTTATTATGTGGCATCAGATCTGTCTTTGCTCCTCCAGGCTTCTTACCCCAATTTCTGCACCTTAAAGCCCAGCCCTTTGTGCCTAGCGAGGCCTCTGGGGTGCATGCTACACCTGTTCATGGTGACAGCCCTGAATCTGCCCATACTTCACAGGCCCGGCCATACCTTCTGCAACCTCTGTGTGCTGTTCCTCAGTGCATTCTCCAGCTTTGCCATCTGATAGTGGAATAACAGCCTCGTGTGCATCATGGATGGCTGGGGCCCCGCGATGCTGGATTCTGGGCCACAGGGCTGAGGCTCAGGCAGAAAAAAGGTGTAGCTGCATTCGTTGTGCTTGAATTGCAGCTGTAGCTTGCGCCCATTTGCCGGCTGTCCCATCCGTTGGGCTGCAGTCATGGTGCCCACCAGAAGGAGGAGGCTGCCCAGCAGCATGGCCGGCCCCGGGAGCATCCAGAGATGTGTGATGGGTTGAAGAGTCTGCTCAGAGCCCCCACGGGATGTCTTGGCTGCTGTCCACCCTTGTGCCCAGGACACACCACTGGCCTGTGTCTCCGAAGGCACAGGTTCTCAGCCTCTGCAGTTGCAAACCCTTGTGTGGCCAGCTCCATCTGTGGCTATTTATACTGAGAGTCCCATAGCCGCAGGGCTTCCTGACCTCTGCTCCACTCCCAGGGTGTTCTTCACCTTTGGGCTCCGGTCCCTTCCTTTCTCTTCCTCCAGCCCCCAAGCAGTCAAACCCCCAGTGACTTCTCTACCTGCCTTGCCCCCAAGGCCTGTGACGTCGGTGGGGGCCTGGCCTCCCCTAGAGCATAGAAGGAAAACCTGTGGACAGGCATATAGCACATCCACAAGTTACACAATGTTGAACACAGGGCCCCCTTCCTGTCCCTGTCTCTGTCTCCCCTCTCAGCCCTGCCCCTCAAGGCCAGGTTGTGAAGTGTTAGCTCCCAAGTTTCCCCTTCTCAGCTTGGCCATATTCCCCTTGGCTTCCCTGTTAGCTTGGGACAAGGGCAAATGTCCTCCATAGAGCAGGGGGAAGGGAGGCTATGGAGTGATAGCCCTGCCATGTGTTTCTAGAGACTCAGAGAACTAACTAGGTGCACCAGTGGGGAGCTGGTTCCTGTTCCCACTTCTCCCCCAGGGCCTGGGGGTGCCTTGGGCCCTAGAGTGGTCCTGGCCAGGTTGCTGTGATAGTGATAAGTTGTCACGTCCTAGGGTAGGTTGTCTGCAGGCTGCACTAGGGTGATGAGTCATGGGGAGGAGAGCTTGGGGTGCAACAGGATCTTGGTCAAGCTCTGACCTGGAAGTCAGAGGCACTGGTCCTGAATCCTGCTCCCTACTGCAGGCCAGGAGACCTCCCTGGTCCTCCACTCCTAATCTGTAAACCTGGGGAGCCCTCGTCTCTTACCTGAGAACTGAAGGTGAATCCTTAGCATGGGGACTGAGGGATTTCCAGTTTGCTCTTCAACATCTGGCTCCTACCAGCTGTGAGACTTTGGGCACATCCAATACTCTCTCTAGGCCTTGGTTTCTTCTTGAATGAGAAAATTAACCCCTCCCACCTGTAGGTTAAGAGCATTAATTGAGGTAGGGCAATGGGAGCACCAGGTGAACACGTAGTAAATACTTTCTGTTCATGATTGTGTCTCCCTCCCTCAGCCCACCAAATGCAAACCCCATTAGGGCAGGGCTTTCTCCTTGGAGCTTTGGCACCTCTTTCCCTGCTCTTTCGCTGGGAGCCTGGGCTGACTACCTGTGGTGGATTAACTAATGGTCAACTTGTAATGCCCAGCTGAACCGAATCAGCATGGTCTGGGTGTGGAGGATCCACCTGAGCATTGTTACCAATAGCCATAAAAAGAGAACTGGAGGAAAAGATCGTGGCCTATTGATTTTCTAGAAGATTTCTGCAGATGGTTTTCCTGATGTGAACTAGGCTGTTCTTGGAGGAGGAGAAGGAGCTTGGGCCTTGCTGTCTCTGGGAATGGCTGCTGTTTTTGTCAGGGGAACTCTGATCTTCACCGTGAGCGTCGCTCCCTGGCTCCAGTGTGGACCCTCCTGTTGATGGCACAGATCCTTCCTCTCACCGGCGTAGGTTTTCTGGCTTCCACCCCTGGCCTTGGGCCTTCCGGGTGCAGATCCTTAATACGGACAAGCAGGAGACACTGCCGTGGGCTCTGGGCACTGGCTGGATGCGTGGAGGACGCTGCCTTGGACTCTAATTAAGCTTTTAGCTGGACTTGTGTGGGCCATTGTTGGATCCAGGCCCTTGGCTGGATTCTTTGGGCCTCTAATGTACAGTTAATCTCTTGCACTCCTTGGTATTTGGCTTTTTGAGTAATTATAATAAAATAATCCTATAAATTATATGTCCTGTATTTAAGGTATTCCCTTGTCAAACCCTGACTACAACACTACTGCTTGCTATTGTCTCTTTCCTTTTGTTTTCCTGAATCCTGATGAAGTCTTGAATGGGGAAGGCTACTTGGGGGTACCAGGAAGCCAGATCCTCATCAGGGGACAGAGGACACTCTGTCAGGTACAGAGGTCTGGCTGGAAGAGGAGCTGCCAGTGATCCCAGTCACCATGTTTTCCAGGCCTTACAGAGCTCCCAGCCCTGCTCAGTTCCTTCACTGCAGAAGCGACCCTATTGTACAAAACAGCACTGAACCTCACTCAGAGCAGCTGAAGGATTTGTCCAAGGTTACGCAGCCTGGGAGGAATTGACCAGGAATTGGGGAGAGAAGGAAGCTCAGCCAATCTGGGTGCCTCGCCGCCTCCCTCTTCCTGTCCTGGCAGTGAGCAAGGGTCTGGCCCGCTTGGCCTCGTCTCTGTGTCTGTGCACTGGAGATAGAGTTCACTCACACCATGGAGTGGGTGCAGAGGTCTTGCTGTGGCACCCAGATGACAGTGGGAGCTCCCAGTACAGGTGATGCATTCAAGCTTGATGGGCAAAAGCATGCAAGAATGAATGGGTGAATGAATGGAATGTGACTTCCTTCCCTCACAGATCTTGCAAAATCCATGTGGAGCCCAGAGTTGCACAAAATCCTCAATGAACAAAAATGAAAAAAAAAAAAAAGACAGGAATTCTCTTCTGTAGGAAGGACACAGGCAAGACCAAAAGAAAAGTCTTCTGCCCAGTGGGTGCCCTGGGCTGGAAAGCCTCTGTGTCAGCCCCATGCCTTCATCTCAGCACTGCCCTGACCTCGGGGCCTTTGCATGTGTCACTGTCTGTCCAGAACACTACTATCCTCACACCCTGGGCCTCCTTCCCCCATTGCTGCAGTTATTATGGCTGCAGACAGGTTTCCCCAAAGTTTAGTGGCTTCCTAGGAAGTACTGAGGATTTCTAGGGGCCAAGAATTTGGAGAAGCCCAGCTGGGAAGTTCTGCTTGAGTCTCTTGGTGATGTTGCTGTCAAGATGGAGGCCAACCTGGGGTCGTCCCAAAGGCTTCCTCCCTCATCTGTCACACCTGGGCATCCCTGGTCTGTTCAGATAATGTATCCAACATGGTGACTTCAGGCCACCAGCCTTCTCTCAGGGCCACTCGGGGCAGTAAAGGCACAGGTCTCCAGGTTGCCAGGTGGATACCTCATTGCCTTTCTTGACCAAGCCTTGGAAGGTATCCCAAGTCCTCCACATCATCTGTTCCAGTGCTCCATCGCCATCTTAAATTCTCCTTCTTCTCCTCCCCCCGTCTTCTTTTTCTCTTCTTCCTACTTCGTCTTCCTCTTCCTCCTTTTCGTTTTCCTCTTCTTCTTCCTCCTCTTTTTTTTTCTGAGATAGAGTCATGCTATGCAGTCCAGGCTGGCCTTGAATTCACTAGTGTAGCCCAGGCTGACCTCAAACTTGTGATGATCCTCCTGCCTTAGGCTCCTGAGTGCTGGGATTATCAGTGTGGAGCCATCACACCTAGCTGTCATTTTAAATTCTTAATAAATTCTAAGCAAGGGGCTCTGTGCTCAGCATTCAATGCTGCCTAGAGTCCTGAGCCTCCCCCTTCTCCCCCTGTTGCTGGCCTGGCATCTCACAGATTGTTCTTCCCCAGTGATTCCTGAATGTGTTTTTCTGTCTGCACCTGCTGCTTATTCTGGGTGACAGGAGCCAGACTCTCTGGATCAGAATTCTGGTCATCCCACCTACCCTTGGGTGTCAGCTCAGCTAAATTGCTTAATCTGTCTACCTCCATTTCTCCTGTCAAGCAGGGTTGGTGATAGTAATTCCCTGTCAGTGTTAAACTGGATAAAAAGCTGATCGCTATAGAGGGGTTAAAATGAACCTGGCACATGGTGTGTGATGACAGCTACCATCACAGGCCCTGCTGAAGTCTGAGTGGTTGTGTCCCCTAAACTCCTGGGCTGACACCCAGTCACCAAAGCGATGGTGTAGGAGAGGCATTCATGGTGCTTAGGTCATGGGGTGAGTGCTCCATAACAGGATTAGTGCCCGATGTAAGAGGCACCGAAGCTGTTCTTTCTTTTCCTCTACCAGAAGGACAAACCAGAAAGTGCCATCCCTGTCACAGAGAGCAGCCCTGGCCTGCATGGGGCACCTCACACTTTCCAGCCCCTGGGCTGCTGCTCCTAAGTCACACAGCTTATCATGTTCAGCCAGAGCTGCCTAACAAACATGTTACCTTTCATTTTCCTAGCTCAGGTACAGGTCTTCTGCTGAAGGCAAGGCAGCACTTGGGAATCAAGGCTCCCTACATCTAGCCTACATGCCTCCCAGCCCTGCAGCCACACTCTCTGTCTCCTGTCCTCTGGCCAAGCTCAGGCAATCTGCATGAGTGATTGTTGAATGAATAATCCCACTGTTGGGTAGGAGCTGGTGCAACAGCCTCAAAGCACAGATTCAGGTATCACTCTGTCCTCCCCAGGGCAGCGACAACAGGAAGTTTCCATGTGAGTTGTGCTGAGTGACTGGCATCCAGATATTAAGAACAAAACCACCAGCCCTCCAGGTTGTTATCGCTTTGACAGCCCGCTGTTGTCTGCAGGCAGAACATGGAGGATACAACTCCCTGAAGATTTTGGTTTTTGCTCAGATAACTTGGGCAAAAAGGAAACTTAATGGTCAGTCTAACTGAAAAGTTTAGGGGTTCTAGCTTCAGGTGCAGCTTGATCTAGAGGCTTAAATATTAGGAATACCTTTCTCCAGATCTTTGTTTTATTCAATGGCTACATCCACTGACCGTTCCCACCACCACAGTCACCACCACTGTTGGCAGGAGCCACCATCTATCAACTTGGCACTGTCAGAT